CAACTACAAATTTGCTGATGATACAAAGCTGGGAAGATCGGCAGACATGCTGAAAGGCTGTGCTACCATCCAACAAGACCTGGACAGACTGGAGAATTGGGCAAGGAAGAACCTGATGAGATTTAACAAGGGCAAGTGTAGAGTCTTGCACCTGGGGAGGAATTACCACATGCATCAGAACTGGTTAGGAGAACTCATGGAGATAAGTTCTGTGGAGAAGGACCTGGAGACCCTGGTAGACAATACGTTGGCCATGAGGCAGCAATGTATCCTGGTGGCCAAGAAGGCCAATGGTATCCTGGGGTGCATTAAAAAGACAGTGGACAGCGGGTTGAGGAAGGTGGTCCTCCCCCTCTGATCTGCCCTGGCTACTTTGTCCAGTTCTGGGCTCTCCAATTCTTAAAAGACAACAATCACCTAGATGGAGTCAAGCAGAGGGCCACAAAGATGATTTAGGACCCAGAGCATCTCCCACATGAAGAAAGGCTGACTAACCTGGGTCTGTTAAGCCTGGGGAAGAAAAGATTGAGAGGGGATCTGATAAACGTTTATAAATATCTAAAGAGAGGTGGGATGCAAATGGATGAGGCCAGGCTCTTCTCAGTGGTGTATAGTGATAGCACAAGATGTGATGCCCTAAAACTGGAATGTAGGAAGTTCTGTACTAACATGTGTAAGAACTTCTTTATGGTAAGAATGATGGAGCGCTGGAACAGGATGCCCAGAGAGGATGTAGAGTCTCCTTCTATGGAGATATTCAAGACCCATTTGGAAGCCTTCCTGTGTGACCTATTGCAGGGTATGTGCTTTAGCAGAGGATTGGATTCAGTGATCTCTGGAGGTCACTTTCAACCCCTGCAATTCTGTGATCTCTTGAGGTCCCTTCCAATCCCTTGATTCTGTGATTCTATGAACTAACTGGATTGTCAGAAAATGGTTACTATCCTTCACCTTACTTTTAATTTCATATTACGTACCAGTCCATTTTTAGTTTATAATGTTCATCTAGAGGGTTAAATCACTCATATAACAATAATTACAATCATCAAGTTAATCTTCTTAGTCAGTATTAAATTGTCCAAACAAAATACGAAATTGCAGTTTACAGGAAAGTAATTGTTTGTTCTGTCCTCAGTCTTTTTTACACATTGTCAGGACTTACTCATCGTCTTTTCAAGTAATTAATATATTTGGCACACAGCAAGGATTTTCTCAACCAGTTCATGGAACATAACAGTTTATTACTTGCAGTTGTATTTGACTCAAGCGATAAATACCATTTTTTAAATTACGTTGTGATTATTGAATATTAATAAAAAAAACTTTTTTTGGTCTGAAATTAGCATAAGCATTTTCAGAATATTATTATTAATATTTTATTTTCAAATAATATCAATGTATTCATTGTCCATCCCTCAACAGTGACATCCATTAACTTCAAAAGATAATAGGAAACAAGGTTTATTTATGGTTTACTTTACAGTTTACTTCACTCCCCCTTTATCTGTTACAAAAGCCAACTATTTTGCACAAAGTTTCCAAAACAGTTTTAAGCTAAGTCCAGATGCGTAGGTTTGAAAGCTGGTTCTTTGCAGTGCTTGGCAGTGGGGAGGACCAGCTGGCAGATGAATGCAGTTGCTGGGAAAGCAGACAAATATTCTTGCAGGGCAGAAGTGTCAAAGGCAGAAGGGTAAGGGGCAAGCAAGTCCAGCCCCTGCCCCTGCTCACCGTCAAAGGCAGGTGGGAGCAGAGTGTGCTTGTATAGTCCAGCAATGTTTTTTACTCCTGCATCATGGCTGTTAGTGGTGTTTACCTAATAGGACAGAAGATGGTTCTCCACCCACTGCCTTTATTACTTGCAGATGTCTCTCTCACCCTTACAAATTGGGACTGGTAGTTTTAAACTGTGCTTGTTATTTGTCCTGAGAGAAATAAGATGTTTTTTTTTTCCATAAATCTATTTCTTTCTGGTTGTGTCGTGTTAGCTCTGCATACAGTTTACTTTGTAGCTCAGAACAGTTCATTTTTCTATTTCATGGCTATTTGCTACTTCAGATTTTTCTCATTATTTCTTTCTCACATTTCACAGGCAGGATCGTACAAATTTTAGCTCCAGTTTTAAGTAGCATTTCAAGTTTTCTAATTGTATTTCTCATGTTTCGTTTCCACTTATTACATGTAATTCCACAAAAACAAATAAAACCCAACCCTGTCCAGCTGCAGTAATCACTGTTTTTTAGTTCTTTTCCTTCCTCCTTTTTACAAAAGTTCCTTTGTCTTGCAGAATGCTGGGCTTTAAGCATTTTAACACTTATTGTTTTGTCTTATAAACTGATGTATTTATTTTTTATCAAAGTGACATTTTCAGTAAAGAATATTCAATCTCATTATTGAAATATTCTTTCTGTATCTCTGGCTGATTAAATACTGGAACTGGTTGAAGTTTGTGGAATCTCCATGCTAGAAAATATTACAAACTCAGTTGGAAAAGCCTCTTGCAATTTGATCTGACTTTGTTTCATCTACTTTGGATTTTGACACTGCTTTGAGCAAGGGCTTGGACCAGGTAGGCATCCCCTTCAACCAGTATTATCTTGTGGTTTTATGGAGAGCTGCATTGGGTCAGTTGCAGATACTCTTGAGGACATACCCACACAATGTGGACGTGTGAGGTGACCAGGTCAGCACTGAATTGCATGAGTTTTGTCTTTTCCTGTCTCTGTAACCTCTTCAGAATCCCTTTAACTGATTGCCTGAGAAGACTTTCCCAAATTTCCTGATGTATTATTTTGTTCTGCATTCCTCCTAGTGTAAGGATGATAGCTGCAGGGCAAACTGCATCAGCTGACTGTGACCTGTGAAGTAAGGTATTGCAAGGTCATTGTTGCTTTCCAGCTCCCTCTGGATTTTCTTTCCTCCTGCAAGCATACAAATAATTCCACATATCTATCATTTGATCTGTGCCCTGAAGAAACAGAGCCATGTAGTTAAGAGCAAAATACACTACAGGAAATCGTAGGGTTTTAAGCAATTTTGAACCATGATTGCTGTATTCTAGGCTGGTTCTCCCTGTGTGAAATGATGCACTTTTAAATCAGTTTACCCTTCCACCTTGAAAAGTGAAATTCCCAGACGCGTTTGATCTGAGGCCAAGGAAACAGTGCAAATGGTTACATTATTGGCAAGTTGTAGCAGCGGTGTCTGTGCTCAGGAGAAACCGAGTACATGGGTGCATGCACTGCTGAGAAGCAATTCTCAGGAGAGTTACTGTGCATGCACTGAGTACTGGCAGCCTGGTTAGTGAATTAGCTTCTGCACTCATTAGGTGCTCTCAGGCAGGGGGAACAAAGTCCTAGAAATGCCTTCTTGTGCATAAGGTTGTTTCTGTGTAGGAGATGCACTCTCACAGTATTTCAGCCACCCACTTCAACCCTCTGAGAAAAAAATCAACTCTAATTTTCCCATTCCATTTATATGTAATGCACTGTGTAGGATACCAAGTGGTTATGGTTGCTAAGAGCCCTATTTGTATTATACTCAGTACTAATTTCAGGTAAGACTTTGAAGAACTGAGGAAGCTGATCTTTCACAATACCATAAGCTAAAATTATGCTTATTTCCAAATAAATATAAGGGAAAAGCATGAAGGTGGTTTTATGATGGAATAATACTTTCCAAGTTTATGGGAAATTTATTCCAAACACTGCCTCACTTTAAAAAAAAAAAAAATCATACATTTTAATTAGGTTGAATCAGATATTTTATATGCTAATAAAATAAATGAACATAAGTCTACCATAATTTAATTTACCTATTTTTTCTATTCATTAATTCTATTAATTTTGTATTGCTTATATTTATATTGTTACATGTTATAGATTTTTTCAAAGTAGTCATCTAATGCTGACTTAATTTCAACAGACTTCTGAACTAGATGCTTGTTTCACAATTTTTTTCATATTTCATAACATAAAAAGATTATCCCATCAAAACTGTTATGATAATAAATGACTGTTAAATAATTTTATTGTTAAAAAAATAATATATCTTTACAAGAGAATCTGCCTGGTATGTTACAAAACTGTAAATCATTTCAGCTCAGAGATTTGCACAGAAAGAAGAAAACATCTATACTTCTCTAAACATCCTTTTTGTCACAGCTTCACAGAGTTCCTGATAATTTTTTATTTCTCTGCAGTGCTGTGACTTCTCCATATGGTTAAAGTGAGCACTGTCAGAAGTGTTCTCATCAAAGACTTTAGGAGGAATCTGATGTTCAAGTAGTTTGTCTGTGCAAGTTTATTGCCACAGAGACATGAGTCCGTGCATTACAAAATCTCTTTAGGGCGTTTCCATGTTTGTAATGTAAAAGAATGTTCTCAAAACTAAAAGTTAAAGCACACTTGGGAAAATATTTGGATTTTTCTAATGCCATAAGCACCACCTTTCTTCTGGTATAATGATGAATTCTCTATAAACACGGAGCAGTGGAGCTCCACATTAGCTCATATTCTGCAGCAAAAATATACTGGAGGCCAAAATAAAAATAAAGTTATTAAAATGAAGGAAAGTCCATGTGTTGTGGATATTAAAAATATAACCTAACTTTTAAGCAAGGAAAGACCATGTATGACAACTTGCAAAGCTTTATTAGTGTTTAAACACAACTGGAGACTTAAATATCCTAGCAGTGTCACAAATTAATATAAAATACCTATGATCATGCTTAGTGAGTCCTCTCTGACTTACTGGACCTTTTACTCTTAATGGACCTTACATATTTGACAAGCTGTAAAGAATGAAAAATTATGTGTGAACAATTATGTTATGTGTGTTCTCAAAGTGGATTTAAAAAAAAGAGGACAGAACATGCATTGAAGGTCTCTTTCTTCACAGTGGCTATTGCATTGCTTCCAATATTCCAGATAGAAGAAGCTGTTGCTAAAATTTGAAATAAGCAATGTGCTGACATATATATATATATTTTTTTTTTCCCACAGATTAAGATGCTTAGTGAAGCAACTGGAGAAAGGTGACATCAATGTGGTGGATTTAAAAAAGAACATTGAATATGCAGCATCTGTGCTGGAGGCGGTTTATATTGATGAAACCAGGTGAGTCTGACATGAATAGAATCATAGAATGGTTTGAGTTGGAAAGGACATCAGAGATCACATAGTTCCAGCCTCCCTGCTATGCCAGGGCTGCCTCCCACCAGCTCAACTGCCCAGGGCCCCACTCAATTTGGCCGTGAGCGCCTCCAGAGATGGGACACCCACAGATTCTCTGGGCAGCTCTGCCAGTGTCTCACCACCCTCTGAGTAAAGAATTTCTTCCTTATGTCTAATCTAAACCTCCCCTCTTTTAGTTTAAAAAAAGGAAGAGCAGTGGGGAATTACATTTTACAAATCCAGTCTTTGCATACGGTTGTAAATGTTGTGAACTGAAGATCTCTGCAAATCAGAAGAATAATGGGTAGCTTTTAGGTTTTTTAGTGACAAGGTTAAAGCACTTAAGATTCCAAAGATCAGGTGTAACCATCATCTGGAGGGTTTGCTTAGTTTTTGTCATCTTCACTTGCCAGATGTTCACAGTACAAAGTCATAAGAAATTTCTGAATGATGGATGATGGATTTTCTTCCACACAAAGGTCACACCATGATAATCATACTGAGGACTATGTCATGAAAAAATGAGCTGTTTGGGAATGAAATGCTCACAGACATGAGTCAGGGTATTATAATCTGACCACTAACGCATAAGTTAATGAAAAGTTGTGATTTATTTTATAGTATTTAATTATTTGTTTATTGTTAGTGGCAGTATTAATGGCAGTCATTTTAAATGTGGGTTGACTTCATTTTATTTCAACATGCTTTTTTTTTTTTTTTTTTTTTTTTTTTTTAAGCAGAATGTTCTTCTAAAACAATCTGCCAAACCCTCTTCAATACTGCTGGAGCACGCATGCTATGTCTAGTCTCAGTCCCATCTGACATTTAGGAAGTCTGCCATCATACTAATTATTGCACAGACCTAGCTATCTCATCCTCTCTTTCTTCTTGGAAGTCTGCAAATGTGATACTGTGCGTAAACTGCAGCTCTAACTTTTTCCAGTTTCATTTCTTTTAATGTGTATGATTCACACACCAAACCTTGCTGGTTTGTAATTTGGAGCATCAACTATTAGGCAATAGGAAGCATAAACATTTGGAAACAGAAGGATGAAAACAATAGCAAATGAAGTTGGTACCAATGCTCTGTTTTTCCCAGATGGCACTATAGCCTGGGCTAGCAAAATCACTTCTGCTGGTGTCCTGCTCTTAGAGTTAATGCCTGTCCAGTTCTGTAAAAGGCGATAAAACTGTGGTAAGTGAGGAGACTTCCGGAGCAGCTGAGTCGTAGTTAATTCCATTTATATACCATTATGAATATAATTATTTCAGTTTGGCTGATTGATTTAAGTTAATCAAGCTCCCTTTGTATTGTATTGTATCAAGGACTGGTTTGTGGATTTAAAATAGTTTGAAGTTAAATGATAAAATTTCTTAGGGAGATTATAAAGAAATGATCAACACACTTCTCTTCAAGCGTGTATTACCTTAATAGCACCATAACATTTTATTTTCCAGTAATAGATCTAAAAGTAAATTCTGTTGACAGAGCTTAAGTTCTCAGGAAGCTTTGGCAAATCTGGGTTCTCACCTCTACATCGTGCAATACCCTAAAATCACCAGTGAACAGAACTTCATGTATTTTGCATGAACAACCATGGACCTGTGTCATAGCTGCACAGTCAGTTGGGAGCAAGGATGTAATTACTCCTTCCATGCACCTCCCAGGCACTGTGATTAAGTGGGTACAGTACTCAGAGCTCTTTCTGAGTAGTAGCACCAGGACTGTGAAGAATTTATTTTCTAAAATAAGGCCTTTATTGAAACAAATAGAATCACTATAATGAGGAATGCAGTCTTTCTAGCTCCGTGTGGAAGTATCAAGAAAACTAACAGAAATTTCATATGCAGAGAAATCTGGTACACCTGAAAATGCTTAGACTTCAGCAGCAGCAGGTGCATTATTTTCACTGTAAGAAACTCTTTAAATAAGTTTATTGCCCTCATAGAACTTAATGGCAGGATTATTAAACTGCCCAAATGAAAATAAATGTACTTAGTTTTATAGTGGTATAGAAGATTTTTGTCATTCTCAGGCTATTTTCTTAACCTTAGGAGCATTATGATCTCATAACGGTGATTATTTAGATGTTTTCCAAGAAAATCATTAAGTTTGGGAAAGACCACAGGATGTCCAACCTTCATCCCATGCCCACTAAGCCATGTCCCTCCGTGCATGTCTACCCTTTTCTTGAACACCTCCACCACTTCAGAGCAGCCCATTCCAATACCTCATCACTCTTTCTGAGAAGAAATTTTTCCTGATATCTAGCTTGAAATCTTATTTATTAGTTACATTCCGTATTTTGCAGAACAATATGATTTTTCATTATAATAAGTCATAAAGGAAATTAATTAAAATGGAGACAGGTGTCTAGTTTTGTTGTAACTTACTGAATACTTCTCCAGCACAACTGCAAACTGAGCTCATGGACCTACCAGATTTTGTTATCATTTTCTCTCTGTATATATACATTAAGCATATGGATTATGTATTTCCTCCCATAACTACAGCTATTTTTCTGAAGTATAATAAACGTAAAGCAATTTTCCTTGCCTATGCCATTACTTATGGCATGAGTAAAAGTTAAAAATGAAGTAACTTTAATGAAACCAATTCTTCAACTTTTATTCTCTTATTTTTAGTGTTTAGTACTTATATTGAATATTGTCCATTTTGGTTTATAATTTTTGAATTTATTTTCTGTCTCTGGACTAATGTAGTCTCCATTAGATTCAGATTTAGAATGGTGCACTGTTTGGACCTTGTGTTAAATTTATGGTAAGAGTACAGGCTGAGTTTCCACTTTTTCATTGTAAAATATTATCTGTACTACTGTTCTAAATTCTGACACTTTCCCATGGAAAAAAAAAAAAATCCTGAGATTTGATTTACAGTATAGAAAATGCAATGATGTCTCGTTATCCAAAGTATTGCAGGTTTAGGACAAAAGGTTCAGTACAGAGTACTCAACTCACATTAAAAGAGCCATATTTTGTGTTTTACTAAACCACTGCTTACATATCCAAGAAGACCTCAGCTTCAACCAGACACCTAAAACTGGATCCTGTCTGTGATGTTCTCTTCCTCCCTCATTTTCTGGGAGACAGAACTCGATAGCAGTTGAGGGAGAGTCCTCTAAGGTATCTCTATAGTCAGATTAGGAATAAAAGTGAGCAGAGATAGAGTTGATTTATTTTGATTGAAAGGCCTTTCAGTTTTATAAAGTTGTATGTGGACATGCAAATATGTGTAAGCTGGCAGTGCCTTAAGTTTTCATTTAGCATACAACCATCAGCTTGAAATGGGCTATAGAATTCCAACTCTTTAGTTGAGTAAGGAGCACCTTCCTCAGGTCCTCTTACTTTGCTTCTCTGCTGTTCTGTTACTCTCTGCTGTGGCCTCTGATCTGAGGATAATACAGCATTTTTAAAAACTGGGTACACATACTTATATCCATACAAGCTCTTTCTAAAAATATATGCAGTTGGGTTGGTGAAAAGGCAGAGAGGTAACACAACAGGTTTTAATTACAGTGTCCTGAGACAGGCTCCTTTGGAACTAGCCAGATAGTAGAAATAGCACCCCCAAATTACGAAAAATTGATTTGGAGTAGTGATTTTCAGTATCCTGTAGGAAAGATTCTGAGCTGATGGGAAGTTGGAAAATGGAGAGAAATCAGATATATGTAAGTGCTGCTTTTCTCTGAGCTTAATTATCCGTGGCTCCATGTTAATTAACAAGCTTCTTTATCAAACACTTTTTAGGACTGCTGCATCTGTCAGTACTCAATAACTGTAAACCACACAAGACACTTCCTTGAAAGAAAACTAGCACTTTGGTCACTGGAGCAGAGGCTCAGTGTCAGCTAAAAATAATCAGTAAACCTCTCACTGTTCCAGCCCCTCAGAAGATCTCTGTGGAAGAAGTTCAGACTTACTCAATAGGTGTTATAAATAATTCTGACAAGTCTTGCAGAATTTTCTCCGTTTGTACCTGACACTTGGCTTGAGGTAGTGGAAGAAGGATTTTTAGAGTCGAACAGGAAATAAATACAGCCTGATAATCCAGTGAGGACAGCTGTTCTGTTCCTTGTAAACACAGCTCTTCATTTGTGCTAAGTGAGAAGAAAATAAGTCAAGTAAAATGTAGATGGAAATGACAAAATTAAGAAAAAAAAGCATTTGAAAGCCAAAAAACCCTGAAAATTTAAACTTACTATGGAAAATGTCTTTAAGTTGCTCTGGATAAAGTCAGAATTTTTTTTTTTCCTATTAAAAGTTTTATTTTTACACTTTATCTGCTTTAATATTTTAGAAAATAGACTTGATTTCAGGAAGATATTTATCTGTGTTTTTTCAATTCCATACATAGATATGAGCTAGTTTTATACTGTATAATACCCTTCTAAAAGACTTCAACCTTTTGAAAACTTCTGACTTAGATGAGTTCACATTTCAGTAGTATATGAATGTCTTTTATATAGCTAGCAATTGCTTTGAGCATCTTTGTTCGATTCATCAAGAAAAAATAACAAATACCAGTCATTGCCACATTCTTGAGGCAGAAAGGAAATCTCATTAAGGGTAAGTGGTGTTGTAATAATACATGTCATCTGTTTGCATGAGAGATCTGGAAGTGCTGGAGGTATATTTCAATGATACCATAAAGTAAACGCAGCAGTCTTTTTGAGGAAAAACCCCTTATTTAAAAATGTTTGCATTCAGATATGTATAAACTTAGTGAAACAGGAGGTCATTAAATCCAGTCTTTGTGTCTGCAGTTGCACTACACACCTAAGACCATACTGAATTTCTGGTGCACTGCTCCAGTAATGCACCAAGTATTTCTGCTGCTGCCATCCTTAAAGCAGGGAAAAGCTCTAAACAGTGACTGTGTCACTTACAAGAGTTAGACTTAACAACATCACCAAACATCTACG